TAATAAATAAAGGGAGACTAGTATAATAAATAAATAGTATAATAAATAAAGGGAGACTATTATGAATGAAGACAAATATACATGTCCCAGAATAATGATGCAAAAACAAATTTGAGGACTGGAGATTTACTCTTTGGAGCGTTCGGAATCATGCTGGAGCTTTATCTTCTGACTATGTAGGGCAAACAGGGAAGAAGCTAAGCACCAGATTGCAAGAATATAAGTGAGCAGTCAGAAAGGAAACTGAACTCATTGGTAGCCTCACGCTGCAATGAACAGAGACATACATTTAATTTTGCAATCACTAAGATCATTGGTCAAGCAGGTACAAAGATTGCCAGGAAAATGATTGAAGCCTGGGAAACGGGCCTGTTGTCAGTTAACAGGAGTGTTGATTCACCACTACCTTATCAAATATTTAGGAGCTGAGGGCTTGGTAGCACAAGGAAATGACAGCCAATCACCAGCCACCACCACACCAATCAACCAATAGGAAGGCACAACTATAAACACAACTCACAGAACAACCTAGTAGAGAGAAGTTCCCTAAGATGGGCTCCAGCATGAGTCTGAAAGCTCGGAAGAGTAAATCTTCATTTTGTAATATATCTACTCCTTGAAACTATGAAGTACTTCCAGGCCCTTCCAAGAACTTCTGGTCCTATGTGGATATTCATAAAAAGTTATGCTAGACAGGTAGCAAAATGCTGATTGAATTGCACAAGCTTAATTTTCAATAATTTTTGCTTATGAAAATATTCTGTCATTGAAACATTACCTAAATATAATTCAAGATTATAAAATATGTTCCATAGGTATTACTTACACATCCACAAATAGTACATAATCTTTACTGTTTTCTGGAACTCTACAGGGATGTCTACTGAGAAATCCTGGTAAAAACAAGGGCCCACCGGGAAATTTCCTGGCAGTGGTGGCCAATTGTTCTTTCTTCCTGCAACAGCAAAAGGCAAATGCTTTGGTACACGTTAAGGGTCACTTCACATTTTTCATTTTATAATTTCTGAAGAAAAGTTTATGGATCGTCTCCTCCTTAAACAGATTTCATTCCAACAACAATGTGCACATACAAACAAACATATGCTTAATTTCCCATAATGGTAACTGACTGAAAAAAGTTTTGAAATCCTACAAATATCGTACCCCTGAATTAACAGAAGTCAGACATTATTTATTTTCACTTGCAAATGCATTCATTAAAAGAGGCTTCACATAAAGTAGGGGGAATCGCCAGTCTGTGGCTTTAACTCTACACAGCAATTTCCTTTTAGAAAAGCCATTACTACCAATGGAAGCTTTCTTCAGTCAAATTACTGTGTTGGAATCATAACTCAAAAGACAAGAGCTAATTCACTCCACACACTGTGAATCTCACCAAAATAGTCTCCTATGTTACAATTAGTGTTGTATATGAATGTGAGGATGAGAAAAAAATGTTATTGGAAGTGGCCCTGCTATGCCTTTGTATCCCGTCTCCTACAGGTTCTCCAAGAAAGTGATGTTGGCCTTCGGTGAGAAAAAAGACTCTCACATATCCTTAATTATGAAAACAAGATAATTAAAAAATTAATTAAAAGAGTTTATTTCTTAAAATACACAAAATTCCAATACCTAGACAGAATCATTACAATGCATTTAACTTCCAATTAAAATGAGTTGAATATAATTGAGGTTGCAATTCTAGGCAATTTTTCCTGCACAGTCATTTGGAGTCCTTACATTAATGGAATATAAGCACCAATCAATAAACCAACCAGCAGTTTTAAGCATGGACCAGGCTACATGGTTAGAGAAACTTCACTGATTGTTCATTTTCATAGCTAGTCTATTTCAAGAAGGAACATAAATAAATTCATTAAGTAAACTAAGACTGAAATGGCTAAATGTTAAAATGTTGTAACAATGGCCTTTTCCCTATTATTAAAAGGAAATTCTTTTCTCTCTCTTGACAATTATTTCTATCCCCAGGGAAACCACTAATGTGAAGAACAATAGTTTAAAACTGGTAGAAAACAATCTTCTTATGAATAATCTAGCATCAAGTGTCTGAAAGTGTCATCTGTCACTTGCACTTTTAGGGGAAGACCGATGAAGTCTTCCTCAAATTCAGTTCACTTCTAGGTGACTATACAAACAGGTCCACATTGTTTTCTTGGCAACTAGAGTGAAAGTGATTAAGGGCTGTTTTGCTTTCTAAACCTGGCCTACAGTCCAGAAATTTCCATATGGTCTCTACTGAATTATTACTGGTATCTTCTAGCTTTTCCATGATCAGTCAATACTGGCTAGGTGCTGCCATCTACTGTAACAAAAATTGACAAATTTCAGACAATAAACTGCTAGCATCGTTATTTTTTTACCATTGCAATGTCAGCTTTGAGGATCACCACAGCACACCGTCTTAAGATACATCAACCTACCTCCCTGCTGATTGAGACTCTGCATCTCTCTTTCCCTGCGATCTAGTTCAGCTGCTTTTCGCTCTAATTCTTCCTGTCGCTTAAGCAGTTCAGCCTGGGCCAAGGCATGCTCCTAACGAAAAATAAATGCATAAATAAGCAGTAAAATTGGTCTGCATAAAAACGTTAACTTTCATTATGGAGATTCTGTTATAAATAATCCCAAATATACCTTTGCAATTTGAGTATAAGCGGGTGGTTCCTCAGTTGGTTTCATTATAGCAGGTTGTGTACTAGGCACATTAGGATTTTTGACATTTCCTGGTGGTGCCTAGTAAATTAAAAAAAAAAATATTTCTGAGACACTCCTCAGATCTTATCTATCTTACATTATACAGGAACGCAAGATATATGTGAAGCATTACTACAATTTGCTGGATACTTTATGCATTTCATAAACTATGTATGGAAGTACTAGTGATGTCTAATCTGCTAAACTTTACAAGGTAGTCGTATTATCAGACTATAAGATTACACTTTGTTTTTAAAATAGCCTGCTTCAAACATTGTTTATTAAAATACAAATAGGGTTTGATCTCTGAAAATATAATGAATTCAATAATTATAGTCAAATAAACATGGAGGTATAAGGGTAACATGTGTAATATTTGAGTTAAAATGCTTGAATTAATATGAATTATGCTTGATGACTGTGGAAGAGATGCACGAAAGCCTTTTGTATTTTAATAAACAATGTTTGAAGCAGGCTATTTTAAAAACAAAGTGTAATCTTAT